TCTTTTTATGCGGCTGCAGTAAAGCCCGCAGTTGAAGACGGGGATCGACTTGTGTTATTTCAGGAAGCGGAAAGGGGCGCGAGAGTTTTTTCCTGGCCTAAAGACCAATAATTGGTGGATGGAACACGTCCACCCCTGGCTGTATTCTGGCCAAAACGCATATGCCCGGAATTAAGCTGTACCGTATGAAAAAGCAACGTGCTTAACTTCGGAATGCATAAGATTGTGCTATTTATATTACAAGCTTCTATTTCACCAAATAGTAACTCCTGCCAAGCCCGGTGGGATTTTATTGATGTTGCGCATAGATACACTTGTAGGCTTTTGATATTAGTCTTTCAAAATTTTATGTTCCCTCGGAAGTTGCATTATAGTTTATGGCATTTACTCCCCAGACAGAATTGTGTGCTTTCTACCAATCTACCAATGTTTCCAAACTCTTGAGTGTTACTACTGTACCTGGATTTCAAATTGTGTATTCTATTTTTTTTTACTTTTTCTTAATTTTTTATTGGTTTAGGGTAATTGATTTTTATTTTTTTTAAAAAAAATATTGCAGGATATTAAATGCAATTAGATAAAAACCAAGTGTGGCAATATTTTATATATAAAATTTGGGGGAAAATGTTTAGTAAAACAGAAAGTGTGTCTCTTTGCCAGTTTCTTCCTCTTTTTCTTAAATCAGTGCATAAATGTCCAGGCAAGCTGAATTACATATTTCTTCATGCAATGCACAACTGTCTCTGCTTCAACCCCACTTCTAAGATAAGGCTAAGGATGGGTAGCTTTTTCTGCAGATTGCAGGAGTGGCAAGGTTTCAGGAGATCTTCTATCCTAATGAAAGTTAGAGGCCCATCACCCATATGCAGCTCAAGCATGCCTATATCAAGAAACTCACCACACTAAAATCTAATAAATAGCTAGAATAAAATCTGCTCTTTAACTAATATACTAATAATATTTTTTTCTAGTTGTTCAGTTTTCATGATTTCCTAAGAGAGAAACTCTGGAAGATATAATGCTAAGAGTTCCCTTTTCAGAGACCTCTTAGATTAGAACTCCTACAGTTCTTTTATTTTTATTTTTATTTTTATTTTTATTTTTATTTTTATTTTTATTTATTATTATTATTATTATTATTATTATTATTATTATTATTATTATTATTATTATTATTATTATTATTATTGATCATCGCACAGTCAGCCAGATGTTCAGACTGGATTTGGCATTTTTGTCTACCTATCGAGTCCTTACCAAGGACCTGGGATAGGCAATGTGGATATTTGATGGTATTACAGATATCACAGGATGGAAGCAGTTCCTACTAAGGCCGCCTTTTGCAATTGACTAATGGCGAATTTGTCAGTGCCAATGGTGTTCAAGTTGTTTTGGGATTGCACCCAAGGCGCCTATTACTATTGGTACTACCCTTGCTTGCCTTTGCCACAGTCTTTCTATTTCTATTTGTAGGTCTTTGTATTTTGTTATCTTCTCCAGTTCTTTCTCGTCTATTCTGCTGTCTCCAGGCACTGTCACGTTGTTGTTTTTGTTATTATTATTATTTTAGATGATGGCATAATTCTTAAGTCAGCCTTTGAATTTTATGTATTCTTACACAAGAGTAAGTCCAAGGTTGGGTTGGGTTTTACATATAGTACACATTCCTGAGTTTGCCTATTAAAACTAACATAAATGCATGGAAATTACATTCATGGTTATTTAATAAGCTCTGGTTCATGTATTTTAAGCAGTTTGCTATGTATATATAATGCTCCATTTTAAACTGTGAACTGATTTCAGCTGCTATTAGGATCAGAACACCCTGAGGGACCTTGATGTATTTGAACATGTTGCCATTCTTAAAGTCTAACTTTTGCTAAAGAATCAGATAATTAAAAGCTCATCTACATTGCTAATTTTTACATACAGAACATTGGTTGTCGTTCATAAGATCCTGAATGTGAAGCAATAGTGTCTCAATATACTTTTACATAGCATTAAATGTTTTTCTTAATTTGTAGCTTATATATGACAGCTTCGCTCAGTACATGGTGAAAAGAAAAGGATATAGTAAAGAGCTTCTGAATGTGATGCCTGAACACTGGGATTTCTGGTCAGTGATTTTTTTTTTAATTACCTTCAGTATCCTCTGTTTGTCTCATTAGTTGCTTCTAGAAGAAGAATCTGCCTGTATTTAAAAGTTATTAACTGAGCAGTCTCTCAGAAGCAAGTATACCCCATTAAGTTCAATATAATTTATTCCAAGTAAGAACATATAGGATTGCAACTGTAGGGTGGCGATATTGGTGGACTATATCCCGCTTCCCTATTTTCTCCAGACAATATTTATCCTGACTTCCTGGGTATAAGAGTGTTTCTTTATTGTGCTATACTAAAAATTCATCATGTGTAATGGATGTCTAATGAGCATGGATTCTCATCCCATCCTTTGAGTAGCTGGCATTTTCTTCTTCTTCATTCTCTGCCTGCCTTATAATAAATAAGTAAGCCTTTCTCTGCAGCCTTTGAATGAGGCTGAATGAGAACACCCTTCCTTTTCATTGCCTGTTATATGAATAGAGTAAATGGGAGGGTGTTCCAGGCAACCATCCTTTTCTTGAGGTTGAAGGTCCGTTTCCTGAGCTTGTGGGTTGGTTTCTGAATTTTTTGTTAGGCGTTTGGAAACCAACCCACACGCTCAGAGAACGAACTTTCACCCTCATCCTGCACTCGAGCTACACATATTTGCCTCTATTGCATCCTTTTCTTGTTTTCTTTCTCTTTCTGACACTGAAGGATACATCAATTGACAGGTCTAATTTGAGGGCTTGCAAAGGGATTTTATCAACATGTCAAAGGCCATAGATTTCCTTTGGCCTGTCCATGTATTTTCCAAAATATTTAGTTTCTTGATTGTATTGATTAGGAACCTAGACTATGGATTAATATCCTTTTCCCATATTGTGCAAGTTATGCTAAGCTCCTAGGTATTCATCTAATACAGGGGTGTTAAACTGCCGGCCCATGGGCCGGACGCATCATGCGGAAGCCACGCCCACCCCATTGCCGGCAGTGGCAAAACCTATACATTGCGCGACGTCACATGACGTCCTGAGTTTGACATGTCTGATCTAATACTACAGTAAGTGCTGATTATCTCTGATTATCTCCTGATTATTTCTACTGCCCCTGTAGCATTTAAGACCACAGTCTGTAGCATAGTTTACAGGGTCTCCATGTATTTTGAAGCTTGCTCATAATGTACCTCTTTTTCTTCTTCCATTGGTGAACCTGAACTCATATAGCTGCAAGGGCTTGGTGCTGGACTTGGAAGAAGGGAACTTTCTTAAACTTTCAGATGATGGAACTATTTTGAGGTAACATTTAAATTCTTGTTAAAAGTTTGTGTTATATAATTTATTAACTTTCTCACAATGTTCTGTTTTCAAAGTACAATCATATCATCCCTCTCCTATGTATTGAGACCACAGGGCTTGAATTTCTATCTCATATCAATCCTGTCATGATTCTAATATTATTTTTGTAATTCTGAGCAATATTGAGACCACCAGTTTGGGGAGTCTGCCTTAAGCCCTGTCTCCCACTTAATTGATCATAATAATGATTTACTTCTAATAGAGGCAGTCCTTGGGTTACAACAGCAATTGGGACCAGGAGTGCTGTCACTAAGTGACAAAACAATTATCAAAATAATAACAGGTATCATTGAAAGCAAAGAGTTGTGAATGATGGCAAACATCACTATGAAGATCATTGATGTTGTGGAAGAGCAGCCATTCCTTGGCAAGGTTGTTTTGCCTAATATCGTTAAAACTTTAAAATTCTTAAACAAATCCTCTTACTTTTCTTTCCTTGCCTATTCAATTCCATCTTCCTGTCATCTTGTCTCCAGCCCATGCTTCTTTTCCCTTCCTTACCCAGTTCAACTATCTCTTACTTATCCACATTCTATTTTCCTCTTCTCCGCTAGTACTACTGGAAAGAGGGAGAGTGCATGTGTTTCTATAACTTTTGTGTGAGGGAGAGAATATAAGTTGGTATGTGTAAATAGGACAAATTAATTCTACTTATTTTATAGGTGGTGAATTGTAATCTGTAAATGATCCTTTTTTAGCAGTTATAGAATTCTATTATAATGTTGGAAGGGAGAAATCAAAAAACATAAAGTATAATAACATATCTGATTCTTCCCTCAAACAGGGCAAGTCATGGTACAAAACGTATGACTTCTGGAGAGATCTTGGACAAATATGGAAGGAGGGAGTGGAAACACTTTAAGACAATGAGCGGAATGATTTCTCGTTCAGGTATTACATGGACATAGCCTATATAATAGGTTGATGTTATACAAGGGGAAATTTTGCAGATATCATTATTATTATAGTAAATAAGTAATAATTTTCTTAATAAAATGTTGATTTGTCCACTTGGTGTCTAATATGGCATTCCATTTCTTGTCTTTGCAGCTAAATACTATGCCTATGACAATTACTTTGATCTGCCTGGGTCACTTCTTTGTGGACGGATTGTGGATGGTTTAGACAAAGTAAGTACTAATTAGGTTTGGAGCATCAGATTTGGAGCTCAAGGGAGATACATTTGAATTAATATTCCTCCTGCTTCTGCTCCTCCTAATACTTTTCCTTCTCACATGTTACATGAAGCTTGAACATTCTTTCAGGGTTCAAATTCTTTACTCCTGCTTTACGGCAGTGAGTCACAGGAATGAGCTAGAACAGGCATGTCAAACTCGTGACATCAGGTGACGTCGCGCAACGTATTGCGACTTTTTCCCCATTGCCGGCAATGGGGTGGGCGCGGTTTTAGTATGATGCATCTGGCCCGCAGGCCGGCAGTTTGACATGCCTGAGCTAGAACTAAATCACATATCTATAGAATTCTGAAGGAATTTGTTTCTTTTCTTAAGGAGTTAAAGAGTGTCCATGCCTATCTCTGTTTCCATTTGACAGCCATACCTCCAAATAGGACACTGATTCTGCTTATTGGCTTGTCCCTGAAACTCAGACATCATTTCTGTGAAAATCCTAATAAATCTCTTGTTCTGAAGATTTATGGACTAAGCAGGAAAATTCTTTTTTTAGTGTATTTATTACTGTATATGTTCTACTAACTTGCCATTATTGCTTCAAATGTATTCCTTTTTTTTTTTTTTTTTTGTATAAAACCTGAAAAGATGGATAAAAATGTAGGTCTGATAAGGGAAGCCATGTCTGGTGGCAAGCAGGCAAGCATGAAATGAAGCTTTTATTTTTATTTTTATTTTTTTATCAAGACTCTAAACTTATTAAACCCATTCCTTTCTTTATATTGGCTTCCATATTCTTTTGAGTCAGTGGGCCAATGTTGCTTCATCCAGAGACCCACATGAAAAACAAGGCTTTTATGCTCATGTTAGGCATCATTAAAAAGAGAGTTTCTCAAAATAGTCATCTGGAAACAGATAAGATTTGTTGTAAGGATCAGCAACCATCATTTATGTACTGTAGTGATGCCTGTGAGGAATCGGTTTTACTCCCTTCCTGTGATGAATAGCGTTTTTGCTTTTGGTTTTTTTTTTAATATTAAAATGACTCTTACACCACGTGACATGTCGCGATGTATTGTGACTTTTTTCCCCTTGCTGGAGCTGGGGTGGGCACAGCTTCCACATGACGCATCCAGCCCACGGGCTGGCAGTTTGACACCCCCCCCCCCCCCGATGTAGGGAATTGGTAGTTCAAGAGGAAGAGAAGAGTAAAAAAAAAATCAAGCCAATAATGCAATAATGAAAGAGCATAATCACATCTTTGCATCACATGAGTAAATCCAGTCCTACATATTAATTAGCAAAATCAGGGAGGGATGAATAACAGAAACAGGGTGATGGAGTAAGGAAAAAGGACTGGCTGGAATCCTGAATGAGGAAACCCTATGTGGCTGCCTTGTATTTCAGACTATGCTTGCAATTGTTAGCTTATTTTCTCATTGTTTGCTAGAAAAACTATTTACAATGAAAAAGGCAACGGGGTTTCTTTATGCTTGCAGCACAGCTCTAGAAGAAAATATGACTTCTGGAAGGATATGGTTGGTGCCATACAGCATAATTATAAAACATCAGCTTTTAAAGGTGAGTGGCTTCCCTGTCTTTCAAGGGCTATTTCTTTGTTGAAGGTGCTTTTCGTGTATCTGTCAAAACACAGCTGGCCTTGGCTGTGCATTTTCACAATTAAAATATATTGATATGGACTGAATTGGAATCGTAGCAATCAAGCAGCAAACAATACTCCAAACAAAGAACAGCCAAACAAGCTAAGAGTAAACAGCCCAAGCAAAGAATCTGTAAGACCACCCCAGAGCAAGCCACTAGAATATAAACAGAGAGCAAACCCCACTCCCTACTAGCACTGATGAAGTTACCTAGTTTGGATAATGAAATGCCTGCAAGAAAGCAACCAAGCTCAGAGAGCACCAAGGACCCCCTCATTTCAAACCTGAGCTACAAATATTCTCCTCTATTGATAGAATGTTTTCTTGCAATTAATAACATTTTTATTGAAACATTTTTGTAGCTAATAAAGGAGCACACTTTTTGGCTTATCCTGTGGGAGAGGACCCTTAGAGGAAAAATCAGACACAAATAGAGGAGTTTTTGATTCTGTGGGGTACCTAGAAAATGAGACTACTCAATCCTCACTATACCTACAAAGATGTAATGGTGTGTGAGAAATACCTTGGGAGACGGGAAGAGACTCAGCCTAGACCAGGGGTAGGCAACCTTGGCTCTTTTATGACTCGTGGACTTCAACTCCCAGAATTCCTGAGCCAGCCATGCTGAGGGGAAAGGGAGAGGTTTCTATGCTGAGCCATGCTGACTCAGGAATTCTGGGAGTTGAAGTCCACGAGTCATAAAAGAGCCAAGGTTGCCTACCCCTGGCCTAGACAATGGTCTGATCAGAGAACTTTGAGTCCAAAGAAGAAAAGCATCTGGGAAGGGACCTTCCCTAGTCTGGGGGAGAGTTAGCATGAATGATACATTGCAAGTTTCTGTTAATGTAACCTCATGTAACCTTCTGGTAACGTAACCTTACAGTAAAAATGGAGCTAGTACTCATAGTTCCTATCTGGACTACCTTGCAAGGCTAACACTGGAAAACTTGGTTTAAGTGATAGGTTGAGAGATGATTTTGAAGGCATTAGGGCAGTGGTTCTCAACCTGTGGATCGGGACCCCATTTGGGGTCGATCAACCATTTCATGGGGGTCGCCAAGCAAGGCTGTCCGTCATTTTTTTTGTCCGCCATTTTTTCCCCTTTTCCGGTGGGTGCCTTACCTCCCTTGGGCTGGGCCAGCTGGTGGTCGGCCTGCTCCGTCTCTGCTGCTTGCCAGCTACGCCTCGGCCGGCGCAGAGGGCGGAACCACGCATGCGGGGCGCTCCCTGGCAGGGAAAGTCCTTGACTTACAACCGGTTGGGTAGTCCTCGACTTACGACCGGTTTAGTCCTCGACTTACGACCGGTTTAGTCCTCGACTTATGACTGGTTGGGGTCGCGGCATTAAAAAGGTTGAGAACCCCACTGCATTAGGGGATGAGCCATATGAAAAACATACAGCATGAAACTGTTACACATTTTCTCACTTTTTCCCCTGCTTTTGTAAATATCCATCTCCTGTCCTTAACTTTACATAATAGGAATCCGGCACAAGATTGAACGCTTACATATGTAAATATTAAACCTGTTACAACCTGTATTCAGAAAATCCCAAAGTAACGTAAACACTACAAT